GACCATGTACGATAACACATTCTGGCCAAAGGTCTTTAAGTTCGTTGATTACTGAATTTACAAATTCACGGCCATTGTCACTCTGTAATATTTTTGGAGCTCTAAATGTCAACAATAYCTATAGATAACTCATTAGCAATTTCGGTTGCTGTTTTACTTTCTAATGGTCTAAGAATTACAAATTTCGTCACATGTTCTTAGTAATTTAGTATCCATTTAAATTTGCCATCTGGTGCCGACTGAAAATCCACCAAGTCAATTTTTACTCTTTCATTAAAATCTGCGGTTGTGATRRGTTTTATTACAAGTTTTCTATTCATTGGTTTTTTATAATTGCACGTTTCACATACTGTTAAAAAAAATTCAATTAGTGGTCTTGGTACATAATACGTATCATGTAATGCATTCCGTAATTTTACATTACCCCCATGGCCTGTCCTAATATGAAATTCTTTAATTTTATCAAAAAGGTCTTCATAAAACACCAAATACCTAAATTGAAAATAAAAATAAAAACTGGTTTCAAATAATATTAGATAAAATATTATATTAATTTACCTTATTTTTTCAGCAGCTGCATTTTGCTTGTATGTTAAAAACTTTTCTTCTGCAATACTTAATACATCATAWGTAGATAGTAGATAATATTGTCGTCAATCTTTTTTACCACCGTTAGAATAAATAATAATTTAAAAAGTATTACAATTTGTAACAATTATCGAGTAGTTTTTTATTGTTGTTTAAACATGTTTAAACATGTTAAAATTTATATTTGATTTAATTAAGTAAATTTTTATTCAAGTCCAAAATTACTTACGTTTTGATTTTAGCCATTTCTATTTTCAACAATGTGAATCAAAATTGAGCATATTCAGTGAACGGTTTGTTTTTTAGATTTAAATTTATAATATTCATCTAGATTTTCATAAAATACATTCTTTTCTTCCATTATTTTTAAAAGTTGCTATATGAAATAATAAATAGGTACACGTAGGTATACTCTGCAAACACAATAGTAACTGTTTTATACACAGACACTCACTAAATGTTATTTTTTGAACAACTTATGAGTTACATAGGTATCCGTTAACCGCCATCCGATAAAAAACCATTCATTTGATATCGAATATGAAATTACCGAAATTTAATTTAATATCWCTCTCGCACATAATATATATCACGGATAAAACATTATTATCTTCAATTATATTGAAAAGTATATTATAAAAGTAATAAGTATAGTAAAGTTAGTCGTTTATAAAATAAATATGCATATGGTTTATGAAAAATAAAATATAAATATAAACTAATATGATAATATAGTTTATTGACTATAATTGCTATATTTTTGTTAATACCACAATAAAGAAAATTACCTATATTATAGTTATAGTACTATGATATAATAACATAAAAATCTTATTTTATAATAATTACACAAAGTACACGGTATTATCCATTTCATGAAATTAGTGTTTTCACTATGTGGATGCAACATATATATTATATGTCATATGGTAAAAGAAGTTTATTATAAATGTATTATGTACTGCATATATTGCACCTATACACACAGTACTATACGTCATACATGCAATATAGAATAATTGTTCACCCTATTAATAGATTTTGGTAGAAAACGTCGTTACACCATCATTTAAACATGATATTATAAGTTAGAACGTCGTGTACCCGTGTTAACAATACAAAGCGTATATTATGATTTTCCGATGCACAGATTTCTACGGCTATAGCGCCAATAAAATTATTGTATTAAACGACGAGCTTTCTAATATTTCACTGAGACATCGATTTTATCTCATAACCCCGATAATCGACGTGTCTGTAGAACGCGTAACAACAGTGGACCACTCCTCGACTATAATAACTATTAAGTATATACTATATTATAATATTATAATACTATAATGGTACCTATCTGACAATTATAATTTAATATTATAATAACATACAAGAAAAAAAGCCATTATTTCATGTCGACGGATATACCATGGATGTATCGAGAGGAGGATTTCTATTCATTAACGTTTTTGTGCGCGTGGGAACTMCTATATAGAAACGATACGTCCGTCGCAGGTATTATAGGTATAAGTACACCACCTATATATGTTTATAATAATAAACACATCATATTGCAATATTATGACGTCGTGATAGGACGCATGAACAACATCCATRGTGCACCCATTTCACGGGATCAGCAGTAGGTACAAAGAGGTATAGGTATTATGCGCTTGAAAATGCCGATTTCACGTATTCAAAAATTGGCAACGGCTACTCGMTGATTTCGTGAACTCGACAATTTCACAAACTTAGCGTAAAGTAATACTATTAATATCCATAATGATTTCCAAGATACGATCACTATTCAATATTAATAATGTATTTAGCATAATTATATTATGTATAATTATATAATCAATACTGTTTAGTCGTAGACCGTAGTCAAGTAAAAATTTATATTATTATTTTTTTTTTTTT